CCAGACGTTTCTTTACCCCGCTTAATGGACTTACTACAAGATTATGGTTCTATATCATACTACAAGCTCAACAGCAATAAAACACAAGCCCTACCGATACATATGACCATGGCGCAGATACATACCTTACGTCAGGCCTTCAATTTCGATTGGAGACAAAAGCACATCACATATTTAGGGGTGAAGCTAGCCTTACATGCCTCAAAAATGGTATCTCTTAATTATAGACCCCTGCAACATACCTGCACCTCACACTTCCAATCATGGAAACACATCCACCTGTCGTGGTTAGGCAGAATCAACACTATTAAAATGGTGCTACTTCCCAAAATCCTTTATGTATTCCGAATGCTACCCCTCAACATCCAACCACACGAACTAAAAACCCTACAAACAACCTTAAATAGATTTGTCTGGAATAAAACAAAAGCCAGACTACCTCAAACCTTACTTCAACTCCCACAAACAATGGGCGGTCTCGGCCTCCCAAAACTAGCTACTTACTATGAAGCCTCCATCCTCGAATCCGCAATCCGTATCCATGCCCCCAGAAACGCATTTCAGTGGGTTGATATGGAACACGAAAAGTTCTCTCCACACCTCATGCTAAACATACTATGGTCCCCCAAAAATTACAGGCCAAAGAAACTCCCATTATACCCCACCACTAGATTGACTATGCATATATGGGATAAATTTTTAACTACCATATCTGAGAAAGGAAAATTCTGTGTATATGCCCCGTTAGGGGCGCTGGAAGGAGTGTCAGATTGGTTGTCACTAAAATCCTGGGCTACATATGGTATTAAACATATAAAAGACCTCTGTTCCCAAACTGAACTCATGGCCTTCCCTACACTACAAGCCATCTACAAGATACCCAACTCCTTTATGTTCCAATTCATACAACTAAAGAGCATTGTACACACCAAAGTGACAATGAAACTCCCGACAACTCCGCCACAAGGAACCCACACATTGACTATCATTACAAGATGCATGTCAGCACCGACAAAACCCAAGTCACTCTCCCTATGCTATAAGACCCTTCTAGGCCATACACCACCACACGCTTTTAACTATGTAAAACAATGGGGGAAAGAGGATATGCCCGGACTCACTGATAACCAATGGCTCCAGTCACTGAATGCCCTAAAAGGCCTCACATCCTGCTTCTCTCATGTAGAAGCACACAAAAAAGTGATATACCGATGGTATCTTACCCCACAAAGACTACACCAAATATACCCCACAGTGGACTCCAAATGTTGGAGATGCGGCTCAAGGGAAGGGACCATGACCCACATCTGGTGGGAATGCAGCGAGATCAAACCCCTATGGTCACAGGTACAACAACTATTGGGGAAAACATTGGGTTACAAGGTTGACCTCACACCAATGGTGGCGATCCTATTGCTCTTTCCACCCACATGGAAAAAAGGAGCCAAGAAACTGGCCTCCACTATCATATTAGCGGCTAGAAACCTCATTGCTCTACATTGGCGGAGCACATATTGCCCAACACACAAAGAACTACTGAACAAAATATACCAATTTTATAGATATGAAGTACTCTCCTCAGATTCCCATGCAAAAACACGGCTCACGGAACAACTATGGGAACCATGGCTATCACTAATACATCGCCACCCACTATAACCTAACTAGACCAATGCGGAAAGCCGACTAGACAGGACGAAACATCCCCAAAGAAACAACCCACATACACCGAAAGAGACGATACCATATGACCCAGACTAGGGACACACAATACCCAAATAGGAGGTTGTATACCTGTATGCACGACTATTTAGATTGATGTAAATGTCTAAAGATGCACACTTGCCAACAGTTTACTAAATGTTTCGCTCTCAATGTGGTATACTCATTCCTTCCTCCATGTCAACCTCACTCTGTATATATATCAATACCGAACGAATGTATGCTATATAACGAGGAACAAGATGTCTTGACCGAGAGGTCTCTCCCCCCTCCCTCTCTTTTTTCTGTACCCTCAATTTCTTTTTACTGAAAATAAAAATTTCAAATTTAAAAAAAAAAAAGTTAATGTAAACAAAGCTTGGGGGTCTGACGGTATTCACCCACAAGTACTTAAGGAGCTAAATGTGGAGATAAGTGACCCTCTGTATTTAATCTTTCAAGATTTATATCTTTCATGAATTGTAATGGAGGATTGGAGAAAGGCAGATGTGGTTCCTATCTTCAACGAGGGCTCAAAAGCTTTGCCTGGAAATTATAGACTTCTGTGGCTGCTAAAGTAGTTGAAGGCTTATTAAGGGATAATATTCAGGAATTCATTGGGAGAAGCATTGTTATTAGCAATAATCAGCATGGTTTTATGAAACACAGGTCATGTCAAATCAACGTAATTGAATTCTACGAAGAAGTAAGAAGAAGTATAGATCAGACTGTTGCAGTGGATGTGATCTACTTGAATTTTGCCAAGACATTTGACATGGTTCCTCACAATAGATTAGTGTCCAAATGAAAATAAATTGGTCTAGATGAAAATAGTTTTTCTTGGTAGAATATTGGCTTAAAATTAGACTACAGAGAGTTGTCATTAATGGTAAATTTGCAAGCTAGACAAAAGTGATACATTTGGAACCACTTCTGTTTTACATATTTATAAATGATCTTGAAATAGGCATGGAAAGCAATGTTTCAGTGTTTGCAGGTGACACAAAACTCTGTAAAGTAAAACAATGTAAGCAATATGTTACTTTGCTGCAGAGGCATTTGGATAGATAGAGGCACTGGGCACTAAAATGGCAGATTAAATTTAATGTGGAAAAATGCAAGGTTACGCACTTCGGAGTAAAGAATGCACAAGCAACTTACACCCTAAATGGTAGTGAACTAGGGATAACAACACATGAAAATAATTTGGAAATTATTATAGACAATAAACTAGGCAACAATAGGCAATGTTAACCAGCAGTTGTTAAAGCCAATAAGGTATTATATATATATATATATATATATATATATAAGTCTATGCAATCATTCTTGGGAGAAAAAATATAATATTGCCTCTTTATAAATCACTGGTAAGACCACATCTTGAATATGCTGTGCAATTTTGGGCACCTGTTCTAAAGAAGGATGTTATGGCACTAGAAAAAGTGAAGAGGTGGGCTACAAGAGTAATAAAAGTGGAATATTTAAGTTATGAAGAAAGGTTAACAAATTTAAATCTGCTTAGTTTAGAAAAAAATTGGGTATAGGGCGGATATAATAGCACTATACAAATATATTTAGACCAATACAAACCATTGTCTGGAAAAATATTCATAAATAGGACATCTGGTCATGCATTTAGACTAGAAGAAAAGAGATTTAGTTGAAGGAAAAGGACAGGGTATTTTACAGTATGAACAATAAGGATGTGAAAATATATGTCTGAAGAGGTGCTTTTATCATCTGTAAAATGGTTAAAAACAGCAACTTACAAAAACATAATATTCAGGGATATATCATTTTTAGTATCTGGATTAACAGCTTCTTGCAGGAAAGATATAACTCATTCTGGGGTCGAGAATGATTTTTTTCTTAGTTTGTTGCACTTAAAATTGGGGTCTATGCCCTCTTTTGGATCAAAAGCAAAAACAGATGTAAGGAAGGCTGAATTGATGGACACAACTCTTTTCAGCCTATTTAACTATGCAAGTATCTTCTGTTCTCATAGGAATGGAGGGGTATTGCTGGTAAGATAAAAAAATAATTATTTAAAGGATCTTAGTGAGATGCTGATCTGCCATGCCCAAAAGCATCTTCTATCGCATGCCTCAGGTTCACAAAAACGTGAGACCATTTGTATATAGATGAATATGATAAGGGATAGGATCTCGGAATGAAACCATCACTGAATGTATGGATTTCTACCTTCAGGTGTTAGTATTAGAACTCAATTGCTAGTTAAGAGATAATACATATATATTGAGTATATTGAGATAATTAGGATATCATCAAGTACATTGTTTAGTTAACCTTGATGCAGTTTCATTATGGTCCTTCATTCCATATAATAAAGGGCTTATTGTTCAACAATATCATCTTGATTTGTACAGGGATTATAGTGCTGTGTGGAAGAATTTAATTCTAGTTATGGTGTTGTAACTGTCGGAACACATTTTTTTTTTTTAAACGGGGATCACTATATCCAGAGACATGGGAGTTCCCCCTCCTATGCTAGCCTATGTATGGGTTGGTGGGAAGTGTCCATTGGAATCTGAACCCCTTCAGAAAAGGTACTTCCTTTCATTTGCAGCATTGATGACTTGATTATTATATGGTAAGATACATATGCTAGCTTGTTGTTTTTTGATTTTGTTAATGACAATGACCAAAATCTAAAATGTACTTTGGAGCAATGAGATAATTTTTTGAGATGTCACCTTGACTCTTAACCCTCAAGGTGTCTCTTACACCACCGTTTATCCTAAGCCTACAGACATCAGGGTACTCTTACCCTCCCACTCATTTTTATTTGAAGAGGTAGATTTCCATGGGTCAGTTTATTTATGAATAAAAATAAATAGCTCCACTGATTAACAATTTGAACTTGTTCAAATCTTTTGCAAGGAACTTTCCCAGGATAGGTGGTGGATAAAGCTTATAGTTAGGTTTTGCAGTCTAATTTAGATAGCAGATAAAATAATGGTTATCACCATAGAGCAATCAATTTAACAACCTAGCAGCTATTATTAAAAAATAATTTAGTTATATGGAGACAAGTTAGCACCTATTGTTAATGATATTGGAAAGAAGCCAACTATGGAAAATAGATCGTTCCTTTGTCTTTTTCAGAAGAATGAAACAGCCCTTGCAAATAGATATAGAATAGGGTGGTCGGATTTTCCTGGTAGTTCTAAACATGGTCATCATTAATGCAATGACATTTTATTTATTTTTTGAATCCAATGTATACTGTAACTTGAACTGCATTATATATGCTTATATTTTATAAATAAGATTATGTAAGAATTGAAAAAGAAATAGGAAACATGCACCATGCAATCATAAGACTAACATATTATAATTAAATATACTACTTTATTTAAAATAAAAAAAATCATAGATACATATAGATCTTTCAAGTATACAGACATGTAAACCCCAAGTGATTTAGAAGATATGTTGTTTTGATTTATCAGACACTATAACTGCAAAGATCTTAGAACATTTAAATGGAATGTTCAAAACTTTTAACAGGTAGTAGGAATACTCTTTTACAAATTTCAATGTCTAATTTTCTGTTCCTTGCAATTAATAATATCGTCATTTATACTATTAAAAATACTCTCCTCCTTAGTTTTGATTTGTGCAATTAAAGTCATGTTGAATTTGGCTTGCTGGGAGTTATTCAGGAAAAGTCATACATGATGATTCATTAACCCCTTAAGGACACATGACGGAAATATTCCGTCATGATTCCCTTTTATTCCAGAAGTTGTGTCCTTAGGTGGTTAAAGTGAGAATTATTGGCAATATAAAGTGAAGTTCACATTTAAGGCTAAAGTAGCTATACTGAAAACATAGCTAACTTAGAGAATTGTTCCAGTTCAGCTATTTTGGCCTTAAATTTGAAATTCACTTTGAATTTCCAACAATTCTTACGTTAGTAAATAACCATGTGTGTGTGAAATTTATCTTTCCCATTTGTTGTTTATCTCTTAATTCACCAACTGTTCATAAAGATCTCACAGGGGGTAACATGAAAAGGAATGTTTCATTACTAAATATGACAGACAGACAATCTTGAAATATAAGCCCTGTGTATTTGACAGAAACATAGAGCTAATTATTAAATAGTACTGCATGTTTTAAAGACACTGCTTCATTGATTATACAGTGGTGTACTCCACAGAATACATTTATTGCACATGAGTATATTTAACAAAACAAAAATGACAGGTTGCTTCATAATCTGCAATTGGGACTTGGGATTTAAATATTTTTACGTGGGCTTTTCAAATGATCACTTTCTGTAAAACAACTTTTCACATGATTTATCTACATTTATTTCCATAAAAGTTAATGGTGACTTAGATGAAGAAAAATCATAAAAGGTTTTCCAGATCCTCTGTTTTCATCTCAAAAGCCATCCAAAAAACTTAAATCTAGGCCTTGATCAACTAAATGTTGATAGTTAAGGATGAGAGGAGGCTCCTGAATTTCTACTGCTCTATGAAAAAAAATGCTTTCGTGAGTAAATTTCGTAAATGGGAAAGAACTTGACTAAGAGAATCTTGAATTCTGTAATGAGATATTTTTAAAGAAAACATTCAGACTAACCCCAGGAAAAAAACTTGAAGTGAAAATATTTTTGGCATTTTCTCAAGAACTTCAGACAAAAAATACATTTTTCGTAACTTTTTGGTCTATTCATTCTGATGACCCAAACTAGCTATATTCAAATACAGAAATACAGTTACATTTTTAAAATTAACCATGAGAGGCAAACAGCAAATTGCCCCATTAATGTCCTTCTTAAAGTTGATATAATATTTTGCATAGGATCAATAAATTATCAAATACATGCCAGCATGTTCTCTTAAAAAAATATATTTGGCACGTCAGTCGTGACAATTTAATAACTATCCTGCCCACTTTATATTTATGGTTGTCGCTTACAAATATATATTTTACGAGCACTTTCTCACTGGAACCTATATTTAATAATGCTTTCAACCCATATTTTGCAGCAACGCTCCAGAAACAAAGCACTCAGGTTTGCTATAACAGGATCCCTCATCCATGCACTCCTTTGGACTGGTAAGTTTTCTAACTTTTCCAAACATTCCTCGTTCCTTTCAGAATATGGTAACCGCTGGTTGCTATGTCAACCCCTCACGGCAGCATTTTCTCCCCCTTCAACTAGTTTAATGGGGGATGCCTTTCTGGAGTCTGTCTTACCTTTTTGTGTCATTTTACCCCACTCCCTCTAGCATGTAAGCTCATTAAGCAGGGCCCTCAACCCCTCTGTTCTTGTGTGTCCAACTTGTCTGGTTACAACTACATGTCTGTTCGTCCACCCATTGTAAAGCGCTGCAGAATTTGATGGCGCTATATAATTATCATAATAATAATAATAATAATAATAATAATAATATGCACACTCCAATGCAGAGACTTCTCAATGAGAAGTCTTTAATTGGTGTATAAACTAAATGAAAGAAAGGAAAATCCCCTAAGGGCGTTCCTAAACTGGCAATGAAAGAAAAATTGACAATAAAAGTAAAAAAATACCCACAAGTCCTAGGAAGTATTATGTATAAATTAAAGGGAAAAAATAATAGTAAATAAAGGAGCAGAAATGTGCTGCCTAAAATCGTTACTGGTGCCCTTATTACACTAATAATGGGAATAAATCTTTATTAAATCTTAAAAAGTAACAAAGAGACACTATGTAGAAATTACCCCCCCCCCCCCGAAAAAATGAGAAGATCAATCCTATGGTAAAGAATGGTAATTGGAAATACCTATTTTATACCTATAGGGGGAGTGAACACATCCCTCTAAGTATATGGGTGCAGGCAGGAGCTACAAAAGACACAATTATTGTGCTGAATTTATCAATAAAAGGAGATAGAGTAATATGTATCCCAAAGCAGCAGACAATCCTATCTGTGTCTATAGTTAAGCTTGTAACCAGTGGTGCTGGGCTAGTGGAGGGATTATAAAATATTGGAGAAGATTTCCGGCAAAAAAAATTCTCTAAACTAGTCCCTAGTCTCCTGGAAACACCTTCGAGGGTGTTCTAAACTGAATCTAAATATTAGAATCACCTGCCTAATCTGCCATAACCAATACTAGCTAGGAATAGCACTGTAAAATAAAAATTGGGTCTAAAAGCCCATAGTGCAACAAAGTGTCCCTTAGTGCATAGGTGGAGTGAAAAAGAACGACGAGCTATCGCCCGATGCGCGTTTCGGTGTGTAATAACACCTTCGTCAGGAGCTGAGCAATTGCCCTCGAGAAAAGCCGGGACTTTTAAATGACCGTTAACCAACATGGCACGTCACACGTGACGCGGGATCATCCCGATACGTCATCAATGACGATAGGGGGATCCCGCTTCCGATTGGTTAACGGTCATTTAAAAGTCCCGGCTTTTCTCGAGGGCAATTGCTCAGCCCCTGACGAAGGTGTTATTACACACCGAAACGCGCATCGGGCGATAGCTCGTCGTTCTTTTTCACTCCACCTATGCACTAAGGGACACTTTGTTGCACTATGGGCTTTTAGACCCAATTTTTATTTTACAGTGCTATTCCTAGCTAGTATTGGTTATGGCAGATTAGGCAGGTGATTCTAATATTTAGATTCAGTTTAGAACACCCTCGAAGGTGTTTCCAGGAGACTAGGGACTAGTTTAGAGAATTTTTTTTGCCGGAAATCTTCTCCAATATTTTATAATCCCTCCACTAGCCCAGCACCACTGGTTACAAGCTTAACTATAGACACAGATAGGATTGTCTGCTGCTTTGGGATACATATTACTCTATCTCCTTTTATTGATAAATTCAGCACAATAATTGTGTCTTTTGTAGCTCCTGCCTGCACCCATATACTTAGAGGGATGTGTTCACTCCCCCTATAGGTATAAAATAGGTATTTCCAATTACCATTCTTTACCATAGGATTGATCTTCTCATTTTTTCGGGGGGGGGGGGGTAATTTCTACATAGTGTCTCTTTGTTACTTTTTAAGATTTAATAAAGATTTATTCCCATTATTAGTGTAATAAGGGCACCAGTAACGATTTTAGGCAGCACATTTCTGCTCCTTTATTTACTATTATTTTTTCCCTTTAATTTATACATAATACTTCCTAGGACTTGTGGGTATTTTTTTACTTTTATTGTCAATTTTTCTTTCATTGCCAGTTTAGGAACGCCCTTAGGGGATTTTTCTTTCTTTCATTTAGTTTATCAATTATCTGGGTACAAGCCCTTTGGTGGGACTGGCACCATCATCTGACCACACTCCTTTGTCTTTTCCTTTTATACCTTCTTTATTCTATCTCTGAAGGTAACTGGCTAAGACAAGGTAGTATCTGTTTATTTATAATTTAATTGGTGTATTCCTCGACACAGACAGAGACTGTGTTGGGGAAAGGTCAGAAGGCTTGCAGCTGTAAATGGGGGTGTAACTGTCTGCCAAAGCCATTAGTTAGACCCAGACAACTTCATCTTATTAAAGTGATCTGAGTACAGTGTCCCTGTTCTACTAGCCCTGCATTGAAAAAAAAAAAATTGCAGCTAGAGAAATTGCAATATTTACATTGCAGGATTAAGACTGATTCTAATGGTAGAGGCACTTTCTGGAGTTTCACAGAGTTTTACTCCATAAAACAATGTTGGGTGTCCTCACGCTGTGCATGAAAATGTCCAGCATGTAGACAATTCCCAAAGGAAACCAACGAGGCAATACTTTACTCTGGGGAATGCCTAATGCATGTGCTGTGCTCACAGTGCTTAGGCATTAGATCCCCCCATTAACTGACATCAGCGGAGGAGGAGCGCAACCCAATGCTGAGGAACATTTGAGCTGTAGTGTAAAAAGATGTTTTAACCATTTATGTTCAGGGGGGTTGCAAGGCAGGGCGGGGGAGCCATAGGGCACTCGTGTTAGCAAACCAGTTTTCTATTCCTAACACTGTAGTTTTCTTTTAGGAAGGAGGAAGGAAAAGAACAATTTATAAGGTCTTGATCTAATTAAAAAAAAAATAATCTTTCGTATAAAATATATACAAGGGAACTGAAGCATATTTAACCCAATTATCCCCTGCCCACTTCTTCAAAAATATTTATCTCCAGGCCTGGTTTATATTTGAGGTATATTACCATTGTGGACAGTAATGTCTGATCATACACTGTAACTAGATTCCCGCCATTTTTGCCCAAATCAGGCGTTTAAAAAAAAATAAAAAATATATAACCTTTTGTGATGTCTGAAGTTGGTGTTCAGTCAGTGAGTGAGTGCACTGGATTAATACATGAACGAAACAATACATTTATGGTACTTTTGGCTTATTTGGCTTATTAAGGAGTCAATGGAAAAAGGACCATGTTGTCAAAATGGTTCCAGATCCTGTCTTTTCCAGATAGAACGTAGAACAGCTTGAACTTCTTGACTGATATCTTATTCTGAATGTGCTGATATAACTCGGGCCTGCCATCTTCACTTTGTTCATGTTTCCCTCTGTCCACAAAGCACTTTATTTTTGTAAAGTATTTTTGACTGTACTGTATTCTGTTTCAGGTACCGTAGGGATTATTGGTTTGACAGATTCCTGATTCTGGAAACGTAAAGCGGCATATTGAACATCATCCTGGGAAAAAGGAAAACCTTCATATTAGAAACTGATTAGCAGTATTAATTAAGCAATACATTCCAATATTTCAAATGGATAAAGAGAGATTGTGGGGCGTGGCTGCTCTGAGAACGTTTAGGTGAATTACTAGTTTATGCTAAATTAGAACAGGAGTAACATTTACTCAGATTGATTTCTTAATACATTTATTGTATTTTTAAAAACACAATACTGTGAGTATTTTTGCTGTAGATCTCTATTATACACTCAGGTACACCAACAATATGGAGATCCTAGAAAATGGACATTAGGACAGAAAAAAAATGAAAGAGGTGATTCGGGCTGTTCCTCTTAAATAGGGACACATGGAAAATATGAGCAAGTCAATAAAATGAGGCAATAAAATAACTCTAAGCCTCTGTATATACTTGCTGTTCTAAGTCCACTTGAAAAGAATGTAAATGTTAATCCACATTATAATATGAGTATTAATATTTAACACCACTAAGTGTCTCAAATTCACATTCTACATGTAACTGTAGTGTTGGGGGTTATTCGCCAAATTAAAATAGAATAGCAAAATTAGGCTTAAATAGCCAACATGGTAAGCGATCTGAATGTAGATTTTTTCCAAATCAGCTATTGTGGATTTTAGCGGATAAACCTGAAAGTGTTTCTTTTGCACCATAAAACACTATTTAAAACATAGTGAATATCCTTAAAAACAAATTGACATCAATATCACAGCGTACATATATATATATATATTTAAATACATTTGTATTAGGAGTCAAAATAGCTCACAAAGCATCACAAATGAGGAAGCATATGAAGTAACGAAGTAGGAAAGAGTTATTTTATATATATAACTAACCCTGTGTGTGTGCTTCTATAGCTTGTCCTGAAATGCTATTCCAAGCATAGACAAGTATTTCACCAATAACATTATGTCTCATCCTTTCTAGCATTGAACATGTGTTCTTACACGTTGGTGTAACTTAAAATGAATAAATCATTAACTAAATTATCTGCGCATATTTTTTCTTTGCCGTTGTTGATTGGGAATAAGAAAACACAATTGCTACATTGAACAAGTGGGAGTGTAACTGTCTCCAACGCTGTTTGCTAAGAAGGAGGAAGGAACAGCACATCATTTGTAATGTATCTGGTTTTGGTCCAATTCAGTGGAGTGCAGGTGTACAGCACATATAAGTTTCAGTTATTTAAAAAACAGGTTAAACAACAAATAAAATGTTTGATGGAAGTTAGACTTGGACGGGAAACTGAGTTATAATTTAAAGAAAGATGGGCTGCAAATTAAGGGAAATATGCTGTACTCAACGTTGCTTGATAATTGTGGTTGCTATTTTTGTTATTCAGATACAGCAATAATCCTTTTACATTTAATAGCTATCTCTTTGTTAAACAATAACAGGTTAATACATCGAGACTGACATTAGAAGGTTTTATGCAGTGCCAGCAAGGATCATATGCAAAAAAATCTGCATCCGATCCTTATGGAGAAAGGAGAACCCATGCGTGTCAAATAAAACTTAGGCTATATGATTGTAGAAGGGAAGTGTGGTGATCTGCATTAGGGACTAATGTTCACCAACAGTAATGCTTACATGAATTAAAGAGAAATGGACACTTCCTTAATTTTAGCACAACATAATAGCTAATTCTCTACTATATACCTGAGTGCGCAAGCAAGCGCCCAAGGCATATGGACAGCAGAGTCGCCGACAAGTGCAACTGAAGTAGGTAAACTTTTTTTTTTTACCTATCTCCATTGTGTTATTCACCCTGGTAATCACTAATGCAGCTTTTACTGGGGTGAAGGAACCAGGAAATGGCACTTCTATGTAAGTGATTGTTCCTGTTTAATATGAAGAATATTTGAATGCTTGCAAATACAGTAATATTCTGGTGCAGCGGTGGAACAAGTTTCGGAACATGAATCAACATGTAAGCAAAACTAATGATTGACTAGCAAAATGCAAGGTAGATGGATAGCTCTGGGTGAATTTGTTTCAAGATAAGATAGAGTGTGAAAAGGACATGATCTAACAAAAACCATAGTATGTCCATTCTCTACAATGTGATTAATATTTTATTATCTATGTTCCTTGTGGCTTATCAGTATAGTTTTAATGCACAATTACTCAGTAATAAAATAAATAATACATTTTGACCCTTTGTAGCTTGAGGCATGACCGTTACTGGTACGAATGTTTAATTTAACATGCCCGTTGATTAAATAAAACAAATTAAGTTTTATATGGCTTACAGCGGACAGTTCCATAGAACCAATATGAATTAACATGTGAGTTGTGTTTCTGTTTTAATATGGTTTTGAAATAATGAAGCGTTAAGTGATTCTTCTGAAATAAATTCTAAGACACTATATTATACCAGTGGGTTTACAGAATGCAAATACAGGAGAGACATCTTAGGACAAAATTTGAAAGTACTAGAAAATATAGTGCTACAATGACTATTTTTTGGCATTCCAAAAATCCTTTGCACAGTGGTGTGTCAGTCATATTGTTGGCTAACCAAGAATGAAAACCAAAGTCCACGACAGTTGTAGTGTTGAACGTACCAAATGTTAATCATTAATTTTACACTGAATTAGAGGGAATAGTACAAGCATATTCCTTCTGTATCCAGAAATGTTATTCAGTAATGTATCATTACTTACAATTATTTGTTATAGTCCAATTTTAACTAGTAAATAAAGACATTTACTTCTTTTCCATGTATCATTAAGCATTTGCTGTCCTTTCTTTTCACATTGGTTTGCACATTTTTGTGCC